CAGTGTTGTCCAAGAACACTTTCTGGAATGATACAAGTGTTCTATTAATCTGTGCTATCTGCTAGTATGGGAGTCACTAACTACACAGCTATTGAGCACTTGGAATTGGGCTAGTGTGACTAAGAAACTGAATTTTTAGTTTTATTTAATTTTAATTAAATTTAAGTAGCCATATGTAGCTAGTGGCTACTATGTTGGCCAGTGATTGTCCAGAATACGGAATGTTGTCACCATGTTAACTGAATTGTCAAAAGTATTTTCCTAACCAAATTCCAGTAGTTAATAAAGGTCCATGATCTATATTGTTTAATAACCCATTTACATTTCTTCCACTTTTTACTTTAATTTACTGAGGAAGGGAAGGGGAGAGTAGTTTAAAAGGAGACTAGGAGAAAGACTGCACGCCAGAGTTAAAATATCAGGCAGTGCTAAAAGTGTTCTTTGTGTACTATTTCTCTTGACCCTCCTGGATATTTGAGATAGAAATTATCCTTCTTTTTTAAAGCTAAAGAAACTGAGACTGGGAGCAATTAACTGACTTGCCTATGATCACAGCTTAGTAAAACTAGGATTCAAATCCACGTTCAACTGCAGAGACTGAGCTCTTAAGCATTATACTTTAACTGCTAAGACTAAAATGGGCTAGATGAAAAGTAAGTTAGGCAGCTCCCAGCAGACTGATGTTATTCAGAGTATGTTAAAAGCTAGACCAGCCATCTTACTTGACAAGAGACTAAGGACGTATTCAGGCTACTTTTCTTGATGTCTAATAAATGATGCCCAATAAATTCATCTGTTCCTTCAACCATGGCATGATTCTCAATTGGGAGTAAACAAAACAGAAAAAGTCTCTGCCCTCACAGGGTTTATATTCCAGTAAGGAAATTTTTAAAAAAGGAAAGATTTCTAAAGAGGTGAGAAATGAACAGATGCCTGAATAAAAGTCAGCTGTGCAGAGAAACTGAGAAAGACTGTTCCAGGCCAGGGAACTGCAAGGACAAAGAGGTAGAAGTATGTTGGGAATGTACAAAGAACAGCAAGGAAGTTGTTGTGGCAAAAGCACCATGAATGAGAAGTAGGAAATAAGATCACAGCGTTAACCAGGTGCCACACGCTATTGGGACTTAAAGGTCATTGTAAGGCTTTGGAATATATTTTAAGATCATGGAGAGCCACGGAAGTGGGAAGGGGAGCTGAAAGGTTAGGTATATTGAGAAGAGTGGGAGAGACATGATCTGATTTATGTTGTAAAGGGAACACTGAAAACGATAAAAAAAATAGTCTGTGGCTAAGCAAAATTAAGGAGAAAAAAAGCAGTAAGAACATGTAGGAGGAACTTTTCTGAGTGATGAAGGAAGCCTAGATTAGTAGGACAGCTGCAGAGATGTAGGATGGAAATGAAAACTAATTTTAGGACAGGCTGTAGCTAAATATATATGGTCAAATCAATACCCATGCACGGATAAAAGGAAAGGTTGGTTCATAAGCAAGACACACATTAAGAAGTTTGTATGCTCACACACTTACACCACCAAACAAAAACCATTTATCAGGTAAGTTCCCATAGTGTACTTACAGATAATTTGTTATATGACATAGATTTCTGCTATTTGTTTATATTTAAATGAGTACTCCAAAACAAGTGTAGCTGCCTCTTAAATTCTGATTAAACAAGACCCCCACAATCCATATTCTAGCAATCTTGCCTTCCTTTGCACAATAAGCACCTTCAGTTTAATGAGCTAACTGGACTAGAATGCCTCACTCAATTCTTACTAAAGTTTGCAACATTGTTCCCAAAGAGTTTAAATGAGAATATAGGTCAGGAAATTGGGACACAAAAAAGGTAAAAGAAAATTGTGAAGTCAGAACCTATTGACTGTGCTTACATATCTATCCTCTTTCCAATTTAATCGTGAAAGTACGTTTTGTTTAAAGTCCATACTCCACTGGCTAAATGTTTCTCAAGGCTACTCTAACACATACCTCAAGGCACTTGCAGGGTATCAGTCAGTATGCTCAACCCACCTGCGTTCCTCATAGCTGGAATCTGACTACAAAGCACAGCAGGTGTCCTATAAAACTACTGAATGAAAAACCACTTGCCCTCCACAATTTCAACCTGGGTAATGGATTCCCAAAACACTCAATTTCTCTTCCTAGTGTAAAAGTGCTAGACTACCCATTACCTCACATAAGGTGTGCCTGAATCTTTCTACCCCACCTAACTGCCCTGAGCAAAAAAACTCCATTTTGCAGGCTGCCTGCTGTGTTAAATGTCACACAACAGTCAATGATTTATCCAAAAACTAGGTTCACAGGATGCTTTGGCTTTATTTGTTTCTTTTATTCCTCCTCTTCTTTCATACAATATCCACCTGATGTTTCCCCCTCCTGGAGGAATCTAACCGTGGTAGAAAGAGCGAAGACAAAAACTGGGTGCCAGTCCCAGCTACCTCTATAACTCTGGCCTCAATTCCCCTATGTGCAAATAATACACATGCCAGGCCTCCTTCAGAATGTTGTTCTGAAGTCTAATCCAAATGACAAAAGCCTGCCACCTGTCATGTGCCGTCCAAATGTAAGATCCAAGATGGGTTCGGATAAAATTTAGCTCAAAATCAATGACAAAAACAAATGAACAAAAAATCAATATGACAGGTCGTGACCAGTGCCTTGCAGTCATTCAAACATTGTCAAATAAGGAGTATTTTTTTTTTTCAATAATGGGATGAATAAATAGGAGAAGTACGCCTGCCAAGGTCTCACAGGGTCACTCTAGGGTCCCTGGAAGGTAACTCCTCATCTCTGGGTCTTCTTTGCCCCCACCTGTACAATAAAGCGTTGACAATGGGGGATTCTACTATTGCTACGTTAAGGAAGACAGGACTTGAGAGGCCAAACTGCCTTTATCTGCAGTGTCAGAAAGACAGCACCAGAAAAGAGGCTAAGGACTAGACAGAGACAAAAGAGAAGAGGTCTGGGTCAGCACATCACTCACGAGCAGTGTGACCTAGGCCAACACCCTTACCAAGCAAACCCCTCCTCCTGTCCACATCTGTAAACCAGGGAAAAGAATCTCAGCCGGCCCCGGATCTCGGAAGCTGCTGAGAAGTCGAGACTACAATGCGAGCTCGTTTGGCTCGTTGGCCAGTTAGAGCCCTGACTCTCCCCCATCCTTCATCCCGTGAAGAGACGCAAGCTCTTCTGCAGGCGAAGGATGTACCCCTTCCGGACGCGGGACGTGCCAGGACAGCAGTTTCGATTTCCTAAGGAGAAGGGTTACTTCCCCCGACGTCCCAGCACCGCTGGTAATCAAAGGAGCCTCCCCGGCCGCCCTCGGGATCCCTGCAACTGCACTCGGTCTCGGACCGGGACCTCCCAACCCAGCTCCGCAGCGCGCCGTAGTCCCCTAGGGTGGGGGACGGCAGGAGGGGCGTTGCCATAGAAATAGCGCTCAAGACCCGGGCCCAAGACGCCCTGGAGAGGAAGGCTCGCAAGACCCGCTGTGCCCCATGCGACCGTGCCTGGCCGTTCCTTCTTGGGGCTGCCTGAACCTGCCAGCAGCGCTTCCACAGCGCCGCTCCTTCCCGCGCGGCTCCACAAAATCCCTACCTTCCGCCATGTCGGGCCCGGCCCTGTCTGCACCCTCGCGAGAAGTGCGCTGCTCAACTGAGGAGGCGCGAAACGGAGTTTCCAAGTGTCGCGAGAGTTCTGGAAGGCCAGGCAAAGGGAGGAGTCGAAACTGGGAGAGAATGGTAAATGAAAAGTGGAGCGAGTAGCTGGACACTGGAAGAACCAAGAGCCTGCCTCCACATAGTACCTTTGAGGCTCCAGGTTCCTGATTGATCAGGCACTCACCCAATTCTGTCATATTCCACGCCCTAGGGAGGGCAGTGAAAAGGACACACGAGCATAGACTACTCTTTGCAAAAACTTGGACGTGCGAGGGTTTAGAGGAGGGTTTCGTTGGTATTTAGGTTTCTTTGTAATGATGTGAGAGGCTAAGAGAAAAGAGCCAAAGGAGCGGGAAAGGCCAAAGACGGTTCAAGGTCTCTGGGGAAGCAGGATGCCTTCAAGCAAATGCAGAAGGAATTCAGGAGCAGAAATTAATTTTAGATTAGAAGCAGGTCACTGTTATTCTAAAACAGTTTAGGGAGTAAGATCACGCATGCAGATAGATGTAAAAGGGGTAAAGAGATATCAGGGAGATTGCTTGATGACATCAATTTTATGGTGGAAGTTCATAGGCAAGGGACCAGAAGAGAGTGAAGAAAATTTGGGAGAGGACTCAAGTTGGAAGGTCTGGCTTCAAGTGTCTCTTATATGTATTTTTGTCTAGCAGAATTCAGCCATCTGGCTGCAGAAGCAGAGAACGTGGATTATAGCATTTTACAAGGGTTTGGAATTTATTCCCAAAAAGAAATTGAGTGCTGTAAAAATACAGCGCAGGTGCAGACTGGGTAAAGGCTGATGTAGGAGTCATTAAACTGCAGGTCTCTGTAATACTGAAGAGCAGTGCAGTGGTTAGAGCCCTGTGGTCAGGGTGGCAAACTGAAGTAAGTTAAATAGCGCTAGGAGATGATAAAGTCCAGGACAGGGCCATGGAATACAATAAATGAACTGGAAGTGAGAAGCTTGGAAAATTAGAGATTGGAATTAAAGGTAAGGGAAAGAAGACCATTAACCAGGTGCTAAAATCTTTAGTGAGTGTGAGGATGACTAATAGCAAAAAAAAAAAAAAGGACTAAATAAAGAGTAATATGGCTGAATAGCATGAGCCCTTTCAATAATTTTTATTCAAAGGAGAATCTAAAGAATGTTGCATGTATCCATGCCTAGAAGAATCAACACTTAAGGACTCCAGGGAAAGTGGTAACCTTGGAGAAAAGCCAACAATAAGGGATGATAGGTTGAAGGATCTGAGAACAGGATGAGGGTGTCAGAACAGAAGAGGGGTGAGGATTTGAAGTTAGAGTTTTAGGTGCTGCCAAGATTAAGCATTAGTGGGTAGTGAGGAATTTTGAGTTTAGAGCATGGAAACATAGAGTCATGGGGTTAAAATTTTGAGGAAGAGTAATTCTGACTGAGGGACACCTGGGATATGGAAGGGGCGGGGATATTGGAATGTGTAAGAACAATGGTATGCTCAGGGAAATATGCTCCAGTTGTGGTGGGAAACTTAAGGTGTAAAGGAGGTATGGGCAGGGAGGTGTTAGAGGAGCTGCACTAAGTGAGCAGCACTTAGAATAAGAAGAGAAGAGTACTGTACTTTCCAGCTCAGTAGAGGTGCCATAGCTCAAAGCTGCCTGTCAAGAATGGATTATAGCTGTGCCAAATGGTAGCCCTTGGGGGCCATCAGGGTGACCACATTAGCCAGTCTCCTCTGGCTACAGGCCTCCTCATCTATCTTAAGAATATCCTACAAGTATTTTCTGGGTCATGACATAAAAGTGATTGAGAAATACTGTAATAGCTGATGCCTGGTTTTACATCATATGACTTATCTTTGCCTCACCAGCACCAGCCTAGTGTATGGCATAGAGCAACTGCTCAGAATGTCTGATGAGTTATTCCATTGTAAACTATACTGAGAGTCCACAAAACTGGATTCAAGTTTGGCTCTACAGATGATTGGCTGTGTTAATCTTGGGTAAGTACCTGCAAACTTTACAGTGCCTTCTCAGATTCTCCATCAATTTCATGAAAGAGGGAGTTGGACTAGAATCCATGGTTCTTAATGATTTGGAGGGTCATGACCCCTTTGAGAATTTGATGAAAATGAGGGACCTCTCCCTTAGGGCAGCAAACAGGAACAAATTTGTACCCTTAAAGTTTGCTCAGACTAGACACCCACAGTCAAATGAGAACTCACCTTAAGGGATTTAATCAGCTCAAGGGCTTGACTACCCTCATCAAAACCTACCTTCTATCAGGGGTGAAAAACACTCCTTTTAGAACTGCGTTTAATACAACCCTATCTCTAGGCCCGTTTTCTGAGTGGATTCTCACTGACTTGAATTCCTTGAGCTACAGAGGACTTCTTAATAAAGCCTATAAAATAAAGCATTGTAGTACTCAAGTTAACTACAACATCCAGCGGGCTTGGATGGAGCTACATTAGCTATGACCTGAAATATAGACATCTTGAAAAATCTGAGCACTAGAACATGGTTCATTTTAGACCTAATTCAGATTTTGCTGTTACATTAAGAGGAATTTAGTATGGAGTTGTCTCGGATAGGGAGCATGACATGTAAAAGGATAAGTGCTGACTGCTATTAAGAGCACAGGGGAACAGACTCTGGGGAGACAGTGCCAGATTGTGGTAAGAGGTAGGAGGGAACTGGTAGTCCAGTGAATTGGGTTCAAGTACCAGTCTCAAAACATCCACTATGTGACCTTGGAAAAGATGTTCCTGAGGGAAGGGGTAACAGCATCCAGTACATAAGGTTGTGGAACTGAACTCCAACCATGAAACTTACTTGCTTTATCATCTTGACAAATTAATCTGAACCTGTTTCCTCATGAGAAACTTACTTTGGAGGATCTTTGTAAGAATTTGGCTAGATTCTTTATGAAACTTAGCAGAAGCCTGCCACAAACTTGAAGCTCAATAAATAGGAACTAGTGTTCATTAGGAATAAGTGAGGTGTCACTATGAACAGACTAGTTGCTATTATACTTATTCCTAATGCATACTGCTGGGAAGAGAAAAAAATCAAGTATCTTTCCTATGGCTTTCTGTGCAGCTCATATGTCTTAAGATGTGTCTGGCTGCTTTTCGTGCACACCTTTTCCTTCTTCAGTTTATTCCACTTACGGGAAAAGGATTCAAAATTCTTTAATCATTTCACTACAGCTCAGTGTGACATGCTGACTCAATTAAGCCAAAAAGCCTAATCCTACCTAAACCGAGCAACCAAAAATACCTTATCCTGGAAATAATTTGTTCTGCAAACAGAATCCTGTTGAGGTTTGCAGTCCTCAAGAAAATGAAAAATTTGAATAAGGTGGTTACAGCCCTAAGTTTATAAGGGGAAGAGAGAAAATTAACTGGTACTTCCTCAGTCTAGTTCCTTGCACAGGGTAGGCACAGTCGAAAACCTCATTTGATTTGAAGCAACATGCAAATAAAAACTTTTTTGCTATTTACCTTGAGTAGATTATGCATAAAACTTTTTTAAAGTTCAGGAACATCATCTACATCCTTCTATAATTTATTTCAAATATATTTATCAGGGAAATTAAACTCTGAAAATGACCCCCAATCTTCCAACTGTTCTAAAGGAAGATTTTCTTCTTGTAACTCAGCTCTGATGAAGAGGTGCTCCATGTTCATTTGAGTTTTTAAGAGGAGGCCTTTATAGCCACTGGTAACTTGTATCAAGACAAAAGGTTCCAACACCTAACTTTGTATATCCATATGAACTATATGTAAGGATGCAGGAAAAGCTGGATATTGACATCCTGTTAAGAAAAAAATACTCACTCTTGCCTCTTTTGCCACTAACTAAGTGGTCCTGGGCAGGCATTTGAGCTAATTTTGCCCATCTGTTTAGTGGATAAAAGTGTTGACTCTGAAGACTGATTGGAAAGGCTGTGGTCTCTTTCAGGTTCACATTTGGTCGGTTCTTCACCTTTTAGCTGATCTTTATAGTAGAGCCAGTTTAGACCAAAAACAAAATTTCTAGTAATGCTCTAATGTATGCTCATTTTATTTAGCTTCTAAATCAGCATCACAGAAAACTCTGATTAAAAAATGTGCTTGGTCTCATTCTGGAAATTTTAAGACCATTATATCAGGCTGGAAGTCAAGTTAACTTCCTATCTTCTGATTTCTTCTTTAAATGAAATTTTAAAAATTCTTTATCAAGATTCTCCTGTGGACCCTTTGGTACCATGTACTGTTTGTATAGGAAGAATCCCACAACTTGCTTTTGAGACCTGCATCCTAAAACCAAAATAGCTCATGATACAGCCTCTAAGTCATCATTTATTGATTTATAGAGCACCCATCACATGATAGAGGTGCTTTACAATACAGTAAACATCACAACAGAACTCACATAGTTAAATACAATCAACAAATTACAGAACTAAAAAAAAAAAAAAAAAAACTGGAATGAAGCAACATTATGTCAAATTTCAAAGATGCTGAGAAGTGGCAGTACAAAAAAAAAAAGGTAATTCCACCAACTGGAGACTAGACGGGCAAAGATACACAGGCATCACAACCCAAAATGGGCAGATTTGTAGAGGGTAAGTGAGCATATAAAATAAAATTTCACAACCGAGAATGAAGGCTATTAAAGATACTACAACACCCAAGTGATCACAGAACTAATGAAATAACCTCACGAAGATATTACCTAATAATGACACGGAAACCAACCTCATATGGACTTTAAACTCACTAAGAGGCCAAAAGCCATTGATATCCATCCCATGAGCACAGACTGAAATCTATAAGCCTTTACGAGAACTTGGAATAAATTTAGGAAGCAGCCAACAGCTCTATAATCTATAAGACTATGAAGATGTCGATAGTTGGCACAAAGTTAGGCAGAAAAATCCTTTTCCTAAAGCAGAGAGGACTCACCTCACACTAATGGTGAGGCACTAGTGGGAAAAAAGCCACCTGGATCAGTGTCACCCAAGTGTGGTTTAATAACAAATGTAGAGGCATTTAAATTCACACTGTCAGATGAACACTGGGAAAGGCACAGATGACAACTCTTGACAAAGTCAAAACATGTATTTGAGGCCAGTGTTTCCACATGTAGTACAGTCAGGGCACCGGGTGGAAAGGAGTGTGGAAAGAGGTGCATTCATTCCTGGCTCTCCCTTCTAATCCTCTAGATCTAGCCCTAAATGACACATGCTTATACCAAAGTAACTGCATTAAAGTGGCACTTACAGTTCAAGAATAGTTGTCCCTGAGTTACTAGGTCATTTGCTACTACTCTCTTAAGAGTCAAATTGCCAAGTTTTAACTCAACAGATTGCTAACAGAATTATAGCAATAGAAGAGCAAAATTCAGAGTCCATTTTGCCACAAGCAACCAGCATGTGAACAAGTTCTGATTTAAGAGTAAAGGGATTCATTCAAAGTCCCAGGTAGGTGTGCAGTACTGGCACTTTGGGGCAACATTTTTTACAGAGTCTTTAAAAAAAACTAAAGAGTCACAAAGTTCTTGAAGAAAACTGGGCTACAATGAACAAAATCAAACAATTTTCACATTCAGTCATTACACATTTATGGGTTTTTATAATGCTTCAGAGTGGAGAGCAGCCTAGGATTTAAAAAAAAAAAAAATCATTCTCTGTTGTGACTACATCCTCAACTATTTTACTTCTGCTTTAAAAAAGACATGCAAAATTCACAGAGGACTAGGTTACTTGCAGAAATTTTTTCACTCTTCTGCCAACATATTTCTCCAAACCCCCAAAGAGCAGAGATGCACCAATTTTCACAATTAAACACCATGTCTCATCTGGTACTGTCTTGAGATCTATCCCTTATATATGCCAGTGACTACTTCCCAATCCCAACCTCACACCAAACAGGAATCTGGGCCTGCCTTTAACACCGTACATGCTCATTTTACCATTTCCTAAAGTTGTTTCAGAAAACTTATGAAATATACTTATGCTCAAACAATAAAATCTAAGTGCACTATGTCAGTAACAGACTCTATATGTTAAATAGCAAAGCATTTACACTTCTGAAATACTTTGAGATTTACATAAGAATCCAGATAGAGCCCAATACAGAGTGCCATGGCCATGTGATTTTCAAGTATTAGAAGTTTGTTTGCATAAGGAATCAACCTGAGATTTTTCTAAACTGCACTTCTCTGGCATTCAGTATTATAACCTTCATTCAATACAATAAAAGCCAACAACTTGACAATTATTGGAAAAAAATTGTATTTTGGAAGAACTCACTACATAAGGTGACAGAATTCCAAAATCAAATTACATGAAAATATACATCGCAATTTCTTTGTACAATAGGTGAGAAAAATCTGTAGTATAGAAGAATAGAGGCAAAGAAATATGAAGGGCTAAGGAGAAGGGTATGAGGGTAAACAGCATTTTTAATAGCAAACCCAGAAGTTAAGTAGAAAGCCTGTAGCTGTGCATGCTTTATTCATCTAACCTTAACATTAGGTAACCAGAGGGCAAAAATAAAACCAAATCAGAATTTTGTATAGTTTGGGGTAAATTTCAGTAAGTTGAATTCAGAACCAACTCTTTAGTTTTGGGGGATAATGACAGTTCAAGAGCTCTCAACAGCCAAAAGTGTTATTGCTACATCCAAATCCAAGAAATGGGTGCAACTAGAATACAAAAAGGACAAAGCACCTAGTGATGACCACTCCTCTGAAGTCATCATTAAAAATCAAGTAGTTGCTTATTAAGTATTTCAATATTTGAACTAAATGATTTGAAAACTTCCTGGTAGATAGAAGAGATAAATGCAAAGGGAAGTGTGTCAAAACAAAGAAGATACAAAAGTTTAGTAAGTGAAAAGAGTTTAATGAAGCCTCAATGGTTTAAAGGAAATTAAATGGAAACTTTTAATCCTAATTGCTTTTCATCTGACATGCCTTAAGGAGTCTTTTAAAACTGATAAGAAACAATGAAATGGGGAAGAAAACCTGCTAAAATCTTTTAGAATTTACACGATTCTTATTCTACTACAAGAAAGCATTATTTGGTACAAGGTGTATTTGTGGATGTACATGAACAGTATATATATTATCCGGATCATGTTGTGCTATGTACAGGTCTTTACAATTCTTCCTGAAGGTTAAAACAGTTCATTAGGATTCAAAATGCGTAATCATCTGTAAGTTGGCACTTGTTAGGCTCTTGTCAGCATTGATACTGGCATGTTTTATTGCAGCCCAGTTCCAGCCAGTGTTTGCCAACTTGTTACAACAGAAGTCCAGCAATAGGTGGGAAGAGTGCAGGAAAAACAGTGCCAGTTTCTCAATTGGAGACCTACAACAAAACAAACAGCATTATATAATAACTTTATAAATTACAAAAGAATTGATTAGAAATTTTTATTTGTATGGTATTTGTTTAAAACAAGTTCTTAATTTCATTTTAAGCTCACTTTTGTGCTGTCTAATATATGGCCATTTCATTTTAAATTTAAACAATAGTAAATAAAAATTTAAATTTAGTTCCTCAGTCAGGCTAGCCACATTTCAAGTGCTCAATATAGTTAATGATTATCATATTGGACAGTGCAGACTTAGAATATTTCCATCATTGTAGAAAGTTCTGTTGTGCAGCCTTAATTTTGCTTTTTCAATACTCCAAGTGTCTTTCAACTTATATCTAGAGTCAAAAGTAGCAAAACTACTAAAAGTCAAGTGATTTGGAAATCTACTAATATTTTAGGATATTCAGAGAAAAAAATTTAAGATTACCACGCTTCTCAACTTGCTAAATTTTATCCAACTCTCTAGGTTCAGTCCAAACCCATTTTCTCCATGAAGCCTCCCAGAACTGACCCTCTACGTCAATTAGTCTTATTGTTTTGTATCTGCTGGTCTCATGTCCTAAATTAGCCTAGAAGTCAATAATCACATCTAAATAAAAACAACTACCATATTGTCGAGTGCTTACTACATGCCAAGCAGTGTACCAAGTGCTTTACAAATTTATCTCATATAATGCTCTTAATCACTATATGAAGTTTTGCAGTTTTGCTCTATTTTACAGAGAAAAGTGAGACACAGTCATACAATAAGTGACAAAGCTTCCTGCTAAAAAGTTAGGAAAACACTAAGTTCAATTAAAAAAAAAAAAATGATTGGACTTTTCAGAGCCTTTATTATATTAATGTATGCTTTTCAGAGCCTTTATTATATTAATGTATTGGACTTTTCAGAGCCTTTATTATATTAATATATGCTTTCAATATGTAGGGGCATCAGAGGAAGTGGGCAAGGAGAACACCCATTACTCTATTGAATCATAAGTCCCCAAAACTGAGAAACCTGTATTGTGTGCCAAGCACAATGTTGTGCACAAAAAGCTCAAACAGAAGATGCCTTAGAATTCAAGAGATATAATTTTAAACTCCTAACAAAAGAGTCAAATGGACTTAAAATTATGGCAAATATTTATCTCATACCAGACATGTTAAAAATTCAGTGGGTTTTCTAAAGCCCTGAATAAATTTACCAATCTTATAATCACCCAAGTTCAACCATGCCAAAGCTCTGCTGTGGGTAGAAAGAAAGCTGTGGGCCTATTGTGGCCCTACATGTGCCTAGTTCCCTAATTTATAAACTACCTCCCTAAGACAGCTCTTGAGTGGTTGAACTTACTGCTAAATTTTTCTTCAAAGGGGTTGTACCAACCAATGTAAATGGTCCCTAGCAAAGCACTGAATGCACCACATATGAATACATCACCTTCACCAGAATCAGTTTCTACCATTTACACACAGGTACACAAAAGTGTCCACAAATTTTATTAGTAAATCTAAAGACATGTACTGAAACTCAAGAGACATCGTTATGGCTTCGGTACTGTAACTTTTAGGTAATGTTACTTGAATGTTTTTCCAAAGACTACTATATCACACTCAAATTAATCCCGGGCCAATTAATCTCTAAAGGCTCAAAGCACTTGGGCACTGAGTAAACATTCCCCTGTGATATGAACAAGAAATTTTAGGGCCACAAAAGAATAATTTAAAAACTGTTTCTGTGTGAGATTTTTAAAGAAAAATACTCCAGAGAGGACTGGCTGATGAAAGTCATTAGATAACTAAAATCAGGCAATCCAGCCTCTTAATAGTGAGGACCCAGCTTTAAATAGCATTAGCTTCCTTCAGCAGAAATAGAAAATTCTATTTTCCCGCCTTTGAATAAAATGTGTTCTAAACAGAGAAAAGACCTCAGTATAGAAAAAGCAAATTTGTCGTTCTTTTCTCTAGAAAGATAAATGTGAAAACAAACTACCTACGTAACACAATAAATGGCACTGACCTGAAACAATAATTTTTGTAAGCATATCCCATTTCTAACTTAAAATATATCCTCCTGCTGTTAAAAATCACACTTTTTATGTTAACTGAAATTATATCAATTGTATTCTTTATGAAATAAAGTATTTAAATATCTTAGATACTTAAAGTATTTAAGTATCTTTTTTTTTTTTTTTTTTTTTGCCTTAAACCTTAATTATACCCGACTTTAACTTACAAATCTGGAGACGATTCACCTCTAAAGAATTTAAGTGTCTTCTTCTATTTATTTCTAAAACTAAAATCAAATCATTCCTTTTGTATGTGGCTACACAACTTAATACTTTTAAAAGACCTAAAAATGCAAAGCAAACAAGTGTGCTGCCAAATAAAAACCACTTTTCGATGTTACAGACAATAAAAGAATAATCTCAATTGTTTTTAAGTGAAGGCAGTCCATGAGTTAAACAGCTTATTATCAAGGAAGTTTTCCCCATTACATTCACACAGATGCTTCCAAAAGTTCCATTTCATCCTACAATGCCACTCAGTATACTACTAAACAACTCTCCCCCCATCACCAATCCACTGGCTTTTCCCCTGAAACTGAACTATGCATCCTTTTTCTCATGTCATGTTATTAGTGACCATCCACACGCACTTTGTTTTTGAGGACTGCAATATCTCACCCTCCTAGCTCTCCTCTTTGTAGCCAACCAGCACACATGTTTTTGTCTCCCTTTCTTCCTTCTGCCCTTCATATGGAAATTTGTAAAAGATGCTGTCCTTGGTCCTAATAAGAACTGCTCTCTACACCAAAAGAATCTGTCCTAAGCATTCAGTATTTAATCATGTGTTGACTTCTTAAAGTCATGTTCTGTTTCTACTCCCACTAGAGCTGTTAATGTAGTTTAACCTTATCCTTAAAAAAAAAAAAAAAAAAGCCTAGTCTAACCAGCTAGACAAACAGTTCTTTATTGGCCAGTATAATATATCTATGGTACTCTATATACCCTCTTCTTTCCCAAGAAAATAGTGCCTTTGCAAATGGCAGGCAATTAACGAATATTCATTAACGAGAATTAAAATGAGCTCAGGGTCACCTGTTCTTGGTGTTGCCTTCATTTCAAGATAAAAATCTTAATCCTTAATAACATGCAACTGTTAAAAAGAAATCAGATATATATTACTTAGCTAGCAAAATATCAAAAGATGTTAAAAAGTACAGAATGTATATGCTGTGTATATACTTATGTTATACACACATACATATTTATCACACTTGTATGTGTGGGGAACAGTCAGATTTCTGAAAGATTAAACCATTGTCAGTGGTTATTTCTGGGAGCAGAATTGCAGTGGGGGCCAAGTGGGAAAGTGATAACTTCTATATATAAGTTTCTACATACAAATTTTCGTAATGCCAGTTTTATTCCTGCAATTGAAGATGAGGAAGGGGAACTGAGGAGGGGAGGCAACAATAAAGAGGTAGACAAAAGAGTAAAACTCTAAAAGCAGCAGTCAGATTTAGAAAAAGAAACCTAACTCCATGATATGAATAAAAGAAGATATTTCTAGATGGGATGCTCAATAGTGTCAAATGCTACAGAGATTAAGAATCAAAATTAAAATTAAGCCTTCGATGCAAACAGGCAGTCCCTAGTATCCTTTTTGTCTCTATCTTCTTGATAAGCCAACTTTGATCCTGATAAGTACACTTTAAAAGATAAGTACAGCATTAGGAATACAGTCAATAGTATCACAATGGCTGTATATAGTGCCAGGTGGGTACTAGGGTTATTGGAGGATCACTTCACAAATTATATAAATGTTTAACAATTGTGCCGTACACTTGAAAGTAATATAAAATCAAATTTAAAATTTTTCGAATTTTTTTAAAAATTTAAAATTAAAATAAATTTTTTAAATATAAACATTAACTCCCACTAGGCAAAGGAGATAATACATAATCTCTTAAAAATGTGTGACACTTCATTAGTATTTATTTAATTAATTTGCAATATACTATCAAGGTAAATGTAATAAAATTCTTAGTTCTTTCTTTAATTTATAAAGTACTGTGTTTATAAGGTAAAATCACACATACACTTAGGCTTCAATATTTGTTATTTTGTTCCTCTTCAATTACTTGCTGTCACCAAGCCCTTTTCTGACTGGAAAATGATGTGGGTAAGGAAACAAGCCCTGGAGGTGTCTGTTGTTCCTAAGATTACTGTCAAACTCATAAAAGAACCAATGCAATGAGCTGAGCTTTATGAAGACTAACATGGCAATTGTATCCAGGATAAATATCCAATATGAAGTGCAGGCAGGCATGAAAAATGTTCAATACCAGCACCAGCAGACTGAGGCAAAGTCTAATAACGAGAACTTAATCTATGGCGGTGGAAAGGAGAGTCAAAAGAAAGGAAATGAACCGAACCACTGACTAGATGTGAGGGAGGTATCAGATGTTAATGATAATGAAATAAGGATAGAATTATTAGCAAAAATAAACAGGATATAAAGAAGATGATGAAAAACAAGTAATTTGACAACTGCAAGGTTACTGTTATAATTGGTGGTAACAGAAAGAAGTAAGGTTACTTTTCAGCATTTCAGGTTATCATAAGGAGATCTAAAAGATGTGAATCTTTTCAGGAACTACAGTTATCAAACATGAAAATAGAATCAGCGGTGCATAGATCTTAGCCTTACTTTTGATTTGCATTTGATACATTTAATCATAAACAATAAAAATTAAGATAGTACAAAACTGGTTCAGGGGTAGACAGCCAACAAATGAAACATAGAAAGGTCATAAAAAGATCAACACATAAAAGGAAATGTAATTTTATAATATAATCAACACTGTACATCAGTGGTTAAAGGATGGACTTGTCAATAAATGATGTAGTCAACAGTTGCAGACTGGGAGATAGGAGGGTAGAGTTGAACTTCTACCTCACACCATAAGCCAATCAATTTTAGTAGATTCAACACATATATTAAAGGCAAAACTATAAAACTTTTAGAAGACATTTACAATAGTAGCGTTTTGATGGCAGGGAAGAAACTAAGACACAAAAAGCAAAATCCACAGAGGAAAGGACAAATAAATTCAACTCCATTGAAATTAAGAACCTCTGTTTATCCAAAGATACCATAAAGAACTGACAAAGATACAGATCAATTGCCTAATAGAAAAATAATCCAAACCAGGACAGGTATTTCACAGAGAAAACATCAGTGGTCAAACACATGAAACAATGTGCTAACTGTATTGGTAGTTAGGACTATGCACATTAAGTCATGATGTATCATTTTACACCTTCCAGATTAAACATTTTGCATAAGTTTTATAATATCAAATGTTGGGAGAAGATATGGAACAAATGGAATTCTTATCCTTGCCAACAGAGGCAACGTTTTGGAAAACAATTTGGCACTGTCTAGTCAAAGAGCATATACCCTTAACTGAACAATTCCACCTCTAGGTATACACCCTAGAGAAACTCGTGTAGTACATGTGCAGCAAGAAACAAGAATAACCACATTCTCTATGATAGCAAAGACAAAGCAAAAAACAAACAAGCAAAAAACTCCTACCCCAAATTGGAAAAAAACTTCAATGAGAATCAAGAGAGGTAATTTTATCTAATGAAATACTACAAAATAGTGAAAATGGGTGAAATCTAACTATACATAACAGACCAATTTCGAGAATATAATGTTATAGAATAAAAGGCACAAAAATATATACATTTTAATTCCATACATTTATAGCTGAAAATCATGCAATACATTGTTATGAATACAAATGATAAAATTATGAAGAAAAACAATGGTAAACAAAGAATTGGGAATAGGAGAAAAGGATGGAGTAGAGGAAGGGAATATTGGGGATGTAAAAGGTAATATAGCGAAGTTCTTTTTCTCAAAATAGGTAGCAAGCACAGGGTTGTACCATGTATTGTGATTCTTTAGATGCCACCTTTTAAAAATATATATATATTTAATGTTTTAAAAAGAAACCAAATAAACACAATTGGTCAATTCATCAACACCACGTCCTCTTCTAAATCAGAAGGTGCCTTCTATGTTTGACTCATTGTTAGAATTAAGATAAACTTGTGGACAGATAGTATACAATACAAGGGAAATTTTCCTACTGGTCCTATCAGTAATGAACAAGGAGAGAAAGACCAATTAAAACAAGAAAGGTAGATGTCTATTGCTCTTGCCACTATCTTACAAAATATAATCTTCCTTTATTAAAAAAATTAGGAAACAAAAATTTAAGTCATCCTTTACAACTCATAATACAGTATGAGAAGATAAAAGAAATTTCAGTGTTCTGCAGTCAAGACGGTAGCCCAAAAGGTAAAATGGAAGAAACTGTTGAAATAAGTACTTTATCATTAGAGTAAAAAGAAATACACTGCTACCATACTAACCAGTTTAATATAGAGTATCTAGTGAAAAACAGCTGGGTCTACGAAAGTAAAAAGCAAGTTACTACCACTAAAAAATGAAGCCAATGAAACAAGAAATTCAAATACCTAAATCACACAATTTCCAAACATGCATATGACATTTGCAAAACGGCAAAATAGTAGTATGATTTAAAAAATGAACTTACCCTGAAATAAGTGAAGTTACAGCAATTCAACAAATGTCACTCAAAAGCAGTCTCTTGGCTTTTTCTTACACAGCGGGCAACTTTCCTTTTGAATTCTCCATTTCTGTCTTCCCTCCATTCTTTCTACAGGTACAAAAGTAATACCAAGTGATTTTATGCAAACTCCTCTTATAATCTCAAATACTAATTTTAATTTTGAATGTAATGCTTTGGCAATATGTATATTTTTAAAATGTTAAAAGCTGATAAAGTAGAAAAGTAGTCAAAAAATACGTTTGCAAGGGATTCTGCTCAGATACAGAAATTCCCCATGCCAATTACCTCTATAGGCAAAATTATCTTTAAAAAAAGACCATACAGAATGTTAACAATTTTGTATTGCACTGAAAAGAAAGCAACAACTTACAAATAAGATACTCAGGCTATCTGAAGGATTATCTACTCTCCCTGTTGGACCCAACCAAAAAACAAAGTAGACATGAAAGTGCTTCTTACATAAAGTAGACAGGTGGAGTATATCCTATTGAGATGATATTGAGCACTATTTCTAGTGTTGGGAGGTAGGAGTACAGTATCACTATTGTTGCCAGGCACATGAACACGGGACTCAAAACAGCACGTGCATAGTTTCACATGAGAATAGGGCTCATTTTACCTAGCATGTAAATAATAGTAGGAAAATTCACAAAAATACTCAGCCTTTTTTTTTAAAAAAATTTTCGTCCATTTACAGAAAGCATAAACTATAGAAATCTTCAATCCTTGCCCTTGCAGAGGAAGACATTGAAAAAATATTTTGATCTCAAACAAGACAAGCACACCAGAAAGCCAGTAATTACAATAATTATGAGATAAACTATAATACTGACATGTACAGATTTGGAGATGTATGCTGAAGTATTTATGAATAAAATGTTATAAAACCTGTAATCGCCTCATTATCATTTTTAAGTAAAAGGGGGAAAAAAGGGCCATTCTAGGCAAAGGGGACAAGTCAATCTCAATTTTAAAAAAATTACCTAAAAATACCACTTAGCAGAGAGAATTAAGACTGAGAGCAGGGAGATGAGATAGAAATCTATTACAAAAATATAGGTAAGAAGTAAAAAGAATTCAAGTCAATGGCAGAGGGGTGGCAAAAGTTTAGAGACTATATAATATGGCTGACATTCTCTGATGACTGAGAATGTATTTTTTAAATCACATAAGGATGACTTCTAAGTAAAGGATAGATTGGTCAATGATTGTTCCAAAGCAGGAACTAGCTAATATAACCATCAAAGTTGAAGCCACTATGTCACACACTTGGATGACCAGATGGATGATGCTATCATCG